AGCAATACTCTGACAGAAAGGATTACAAATCGACGATCTCTTCAAACCAAGACGGGGAAGTCCTCCCCGCGTACTATCATCAAGACACTACACCGATTCAATCACCTACGCCGCTTCAACAGCTATAAACACGAATGCAGCTTCTTATGTGAGATGATTGATCTTGATGGCTGCGACAACAACATGACTAATATTATATTAGCAACCATTAGAGGTACTGATGAGCAGTGTAATGATATTCGACACACTCAGTGGAGATCATGACCTGCAGTTGATAGAGCGTTATTGAGATGCCTCAATTGTCACAAATGGCCTGAATAGGACCTTCTCGAATGGCCATTGGTTTCATCCATATATAAAGACAGAGAAGCTCAAACGCAGCTCCAATCGCTGCCAAGCACAGCTCAAACGCAGCTCCAATCGCTGCCAAGCACAGCTCAAACGCAGCTCCAATCGCTGCCAAGCACAGCACAAACGGCTGCCCAACGCAGCTTATCAACCGCTGCCGACGCAACTCATCCATCACTGCCCAACGCAGCCCGTCAGTCGCTGCCAAACGCAGCTCAATCACCGCCAGAACGCAGGTTAAGGTTCTGACTCATTCAAACGTGATCTAACAACTTCGAAGCTGTTCTTCACCCACGATTTGAGGAGTGGCTTTAGTGGGTTGTTACACCCGACTAATGGGGTAACTAAACCCCCATTTAGGCGCGGATTATGGGGGCAGTTACACCCCTAATCCCCCTATAAATAGCAACAAACTCAACAGAGTAAAGGATCTCTTTTTTTGGATTGGGGAGATCGGATTTTTGATAATCAGATCAAGAGAGATTTCTTTTCATTAATCGGAGGGGGATCTTTCGATCAAATCTTCCAGAATCAGAAAAAGGAGGATTGACTCCTTACACAGTCTGGGAAATCAACAAACGGAGGATCTCTAAACCATCGATATTTGGCTTATTAACCGAATTATTTTCGGTTCCAACAACTCTATCATTAGAGTTTGTTACTTGTTCTGAATCACAAAACTCGACAAGAGTTATCAACCGGCCAAGACAGTTGTTCCAGTGAAGTATAGATATTCGGATCGTCAACGAGAAGCAAACTCGACGCAAGCATTCGAGGGAGGCATCTCATCGCTACCGTGAAGAACCCAGAATTAAACAAAGGGGAGAATCCAGATCATTCTCTTCTCTTTTGTAACTAGGAATCCAAATTGTAATCGAGAGTTGAGAGAGTTGTAATCATTCTTTTTCTAAGCAGTTAGAGAGAATAAAATCAAACGCAATTCTTTCCTTATATTCTTTTTATTACAAAATTTCCCACAAACAAAAGATGGCGACTCCGCTGGGGACTAGCTTCTCTGACGAAGAGGTGGTGGCGCAATCCGACGTTCACCTCACTGGAACAACCGTGGAAACCTTGGTCGTGGAATTTGACCAAGCCAAATACGAGGAGGCTCTCTCTTCCGGATCGCTCAGCCCTAAGGCTAGGCGAGATGCTTGTAAGAGCTCTAAAGAAGTCTTAACTGCTGTTGAGACGCCAAAGAAAGTCCTCTCCTTTGGCCAAAGCCTCAAGCTCGCTCTGCAAACCGAAGATCACACGCCTATGTCGACACAGCGTGTACTTGGTTGTAAAAGGCCTATGACAGAGATAGGCACAATCAACGCCGGTGTTGCTGATACTAAGGCTTTGAAACAAGCCAAGAAAAACGCTGCTCGACGACGAAGAAGGTCCATCCGACGAGCACACCTCCGAGAAAATCAATCCCGAGTCCAACGCAAGGATTGCGTCTCCGAAGATCTGCCTAAGCATTGCGAACGCACACTTCGAGGTAATGAATCCAATTACAAACCTCGGGTGATTCAACTTAAACGCGACCCTCAGTGGTGCGTTGTCCAATCAAAGCACAGCCCTGTTAAGGGAAAACAAGCACCTCAAGAGTGCGTCCAAACAAAACAAGACCCTAAAGGGTCTGTTCCTTCAACTAAACGCAGGCCAAGGCCTAGTGTTTATAAATCAAAACGCGACCCTCACGCTTCGACGCCCGAATGCAATAGGGTCCGTCAGGTTCAACAAGAACCAATTTCACCCACTCAAGAACAGGGAGTTTCATCCCCGATGAAGAACTGTCCTCGGGTCTCAGATTTGCGAGAGTTGCTTTCCAGAGAAAAGCCAACGCAACGAGCAGCCCATCCATGTCATTGCGAACGGCTTATTTCAACAGTCCTTTCCGAATGTCACTGTTGTATTCCTGAACCTCGCAGATCTGTATTCGACAGATTGACTGACGTCGCAAGACCTACCAAACGACGACGTCAAAAGAAGAAAGTTTCTGAAGCTGAATACCCTCAGGTTACCATCAACATGACCAGTAGAGGAAAAGCCCCGTGTCCCAGTTCCGATGAATCAGAAAGAAGCCATTCCCCGACCGTTCGAGAAATTTGCGACGAGTTCGAAGGGGTATATCGACATACCCGGTCACGGACTGGAGCTATCCGCCCGGTTAATTACCAAAGGTTAGCCCAAGGGATTACGACAAGTGATGAACATTCGGCAATAGCTGAATCTCAATCTTCAAGCTCTGTTGGAGCACAAAAAGTTTCTGTTTACATGACGACGAATCCCGAGGACATAGCTAAAAGAGTGGATGAACATCATACCATGCTCCAGGCACAACAGGAGACACTTCTCCAATTGAAGGATATGTTCGTCCAATTTCTTACAGAAAAAGGCCACAAACCTGAATCTTCCCGGAGAACAACTTCAAAGGGAAAACAGAAAGCGACCGAACATTCGGATCGTGAGACTCACAACTTGGAATCCTCTTCTGAAGGTGAGAAAGAGGTGGAGAAAGAACTACACCCTCAATCTACCAAGATGGATGAACTGGAAGCTCGCCTCAATGCAATCGCCAACCGAAGCGAGCTCAGCGAGGAGGGAGTAGTGCGGCCTTACCCTGCTGAGTGGGATACCGCTCCTTACCCACCGAAGTTTAAGGCCCCTACCTTACAACCGTTCGACGGTACAGGATCACCAAATCAGCATATCTACTACTTCAAGTCTCAGACAGGAGATGTGGTAGCCAATGATGCCATTCTGACGCGCTTGTTCATCGGCACTCTTAAAGGGGTGGCCTTTGAATGGTTTATGAAACTGCCTGCTGGATCAATCCAGAAATGGGTAGATCTGGAAAGGCTTTTCTTGGCCAGATTCTTCGAAGATGACACAGAGGTTTCGGTTCCTACTCTTCTCGCCACAAAGCAAAAGAAGGGAGAATCTATTAAAGCCTATGTGGAAAGGTTCCGTAGCATGGCATTGCGATGCCCATCAGGTATGACCCAATCAACTCTAGTTGAAACTTGCAGGCACAACCTGCAGACTCAGCTCCTCGCCCAGATGGGAGTAGCAGAATGTCGCTCTTGGAGACAACTAGTTTCACAAGGGGAGCAAGCTGAAGAGATTGTCGCTCGGATAAAAGCTGAAGAAGAGCCACAACCCAAACCGCAGCAACAACGCAATCAGAACAATGCCCAGCGGTCTAAGGGAAAGGAGACACTAGCAGCTGACTACACGCAAGTCCCACCGCCTACTAAGCAAGGCAAGACGCCCAATCAACAAAGAACACCCAAGCAGTATTCGTTCAAAGAAGAGCATGTGGACACTCTGTTCCAACTACTTCGGAAGAACAATAAATTGCAGCTTCCTGAAATCAGAAAACCAGATGAAGCAGGGAAGATAGATGACCCCAATTACTGTCGCTATCACAGGTTCTTGGGACATCCTACCAGAAAATGCTATGTGTTCAAGGACATTTTGCAAAACTTGGTGAATGCTAATGTGCTTACTCTGAAGCCGGAGCAGAAGACTGTATCTACTAACTTGATTGCGGTCCAATTCGGTGATTTTCCTCCTGTAGCTGCTGCAGACGGTGTCATCCCAGTCCGTAAAGGGGAGATGCACCTGAAAAACACCGACTTACACAATCAGAAGGACATGGGGTTGATACCCCTCACAACCCCCAAAGGAGAAATCATGTGGGTCCACCCTGATCTAGTGGAAGACCAACAGTGGACGAATACCTCGTCCAAGAAGAAAGGAGGCAAGGCTAAGTCTTCTAACATGATTAGCCCCTCCGTTACTGAGAATGATGACCACCTCAAAACCCTTACAGATTCAGAAGAGGAGAGGATTGCCCTGGCAGCATATCCGGGAGATCACCCTGGCACTCGGTCTGGAAAGACTTACTTGAAAGACTACGGCCAGAATGCTCAAGAAGTCGAGGAACAGCCCCAAGATGCTGGGGGTTCTGTCCCGAAAAAGCCGGTTGATAAAGGGAAACAAAAAGAACTCCGTTTCAACAGGAATCTCCACCCGGAACACGGGGAGTCTAGCACTCCCTTTCAGTTCAACGTCATGGCACAATTGGCCAACATACCGGCCAGAATTACTCTATATGAGCTCCTGAGGTTGTCCAAAACTACCAAAGAAGCCCTGATCGAGGCCTTAAAGAACACGGAGAGTTTCATCACCCAAGTCATCCCAGTTCCTGAAGCTTCTGATAATCAAACTTGTCTACAGTGCTTGCAAACGGCAAGAAGTCTACCCTGTATATCATTCAGCAAGAAGTCTACCCTGCATATCATTCACACAAGAAGACATGCAGGTCAAACACGAACATGACCGACCACTGTACTACACAGGGTATATCGGATCTTCCGAAATCAGTCGTGTCCAGGTTGACCCGGGCTCCGCACTCAGCATTATGCCTTACAGGGTCATGCAGGTTTTAGGGATTCCTATGCATCGGTTGCACACTACCCAGACCACTATCTTTGGTTTCAACGCCAACAGTACTCGACCCCTGGGAAAGATCAAACTCAGATGTCAGATAGGAGATCTTAAGTCTGAAGTAGCATGTTACATCATAGATGCGGACACGTCCTACAATCTTTTGCTAGGACGACCATGGATACATGCAAACCGCATTGTCCCGTCTACCCTACATCAGGTCATGAAATATGCTAATGATGAGGGAGAAGTTCGAACCCTGATTGCGGAAAAATATCCTTTCCGAGGGGTAGAAAACTTTCACACCGACTCTGTTTTCTACTTGGAATCTCAGGAGAAAGAAGATGTTGACAGTGGCAATGAAGCTGATGTCGAGCCAGATCCGCAAGGGAATTGTCCATGGGAGTTAAACTTTGATGTAATTGGTTCAGTCGAGAACAATAATAATGTACCGAGTGAGGGCGAATGGTGCATTAATGAAGATTTTATTTTGGCGTACTTGTCTGATGAATCCTTTAAAGTTGGACAAATAGTAAATGATCGTGATGCAGGTACCCACTCATGGCACGCATTGTGCACAGAGGCATGTCTAACAATGCCAATCAAGTCATCTTTCGCTTCCAATGAAGAAGTGGAAGACGCACAAAAGGCTTTCTACAAAGTCCCGTCCAAAAGGAAAGGGCAGAAGCTGATGCAGGTACCCACTCATGGCACGCATTGTGCACAGAGGCATGTCTAACAATGCCAATCAAGTCATCTTTCGCTTCCAATGAAGAAGTGGAAGACGCACAAAAGGCTTTCTACAAAGTCCCGTCCAAAAGGAAAGGGCAGAAGCCGATCCAGTTCGGAGAAAGAAGATTGGCCCTAAAACTGTAGATGGAATTTTTATTGGCTATGCTTCTGATAGTAATGCAAATAGATTTTTAATAATCAACTCTGACATTAATGAGATAGCCAACAACACCATAATTGAAGCTAGGGATGCACATTACTTTGAAAATATTTTTCCTTACAAGACCAGAATAAACAACACAGGCCCTAGCTCTAATAATTCAGATCCTAGTTCTAATCAAGGTGAAACTAGTTCTAAACAAATTAGACCACTAGAAAGTCCAGAGGAGCCTAGGAGAAGTAAAAGAACTAGAATAGAAAAGGTCCATGAAGATTTCTATGCATTACTTGTAGAAGATTCTCCAGTTACATTTGAAGATGCAATGAAATCAGTAGATGCTCCATTTTGGAAGGAAGCTATAAATAATGAGATACAATCTATAGTTCAAAATCATACTTGGGAACTAACTGATCTTCCTTCAGGATGTAAAACCATAGGATGTAAATGGGTGTTTAAGAAGAAACTTAGACCTGATGGAACAATAGATAAATATAAAGCCAGATTAGTAGCTAAAGGATATACCCAAAAGTCTGGTATTGATTATTTTGATGTCTATTCTCCAGTAGCTAGGATTACTACCATTAGAGTCCTCATAGCTCTAGCATCCATTCACAAATTAATAATACATCAAATGGATGTTAAAACTGCATTTTTAAATGGAGACTTAGATGAAGAAATTTATATGGATCAACCTGAGGGATTTATAGCTTCTGGACAAGAAAAGAAAGTATGCAAGCTTATTAGATCACTATATGGTCTCAAACAAGCCCCAAAACAATGGCATATGAAATTTGATGAAATTATACTATCTTATGGATTTGTAATTAATCAAACAGATGAGTGTGTATACCATAAAATAGATAAAAACAACAAAATTGTGATATTATGCCTATATGTTGATGACATTCTTATTTTTGGTTCTGACATACAAATCATAAATGATATCAAACACTTTTTATCACAAAATTTTGACATGAAAGATTTAGGTCAAGCTGACCTAATTCTTAATACTAAAATCATGAAAAATGAGAATGGATATGTGCTATCACAATCACATTACATAGAAAAAATCCTCAAGAATTTTTATGATCCAAACTGTCAACCTGTTTCCACTCCATATGATCCTAATGTACATCTAAAGAAAAATACAGGTCATCCTCAATTACAAAGAGAATATGCACAAATAATTGGATCATTAGGATTCCTAACAAACTACACCAGACCTGACATTGCTTATGCAGTAAATAGACTTAGTAGATATACATCAAATCCTGATAAGAGTCACTGGGATGCTTTAGAAAGAATTTTGAGATACCTAAAAGGAACTATAAATTATGGTTTACACTATAAAGGTTATCCATCTGTACTAGAAGGTTATTCAGATGCAAATTGGATTAGTGACTCAGTAGATGTAAAATCCACCACAGGATTTGTGTTCCTTTTAGGAGGAGGAGCTGTGTCCTGGAAATCTACTAAACAAACTGTAATGGCTAGAAGTACAATGGAATCAGAAATGATAGCTCTTGATACTACTAGTATAGAAGCTGAATGGTTGAAAGATTTACTAACTGAAATTCCACTAATGCAAAAACCATTACCAGCCATTTCTATTCATTGTGATTGCAGGTCAGCGATTGACAAATGCCATCAAGAGAATGCAAATGTGAAGATGAATCGACACTTGAAAGTGCGACATAAATCCTTGAGATATAAGATGAAAAACCATATAATAGCCTTAGATTTTGTAAGATCAGAGAAAAATCTTGCAGATCACTTAACTAAAGGCTTATCTAGGGCAGTGGTCCTAGAATCATCGAGGGGGATGGGGTTAAGCCCATAAGAAAAATCACTGCAGTGGCAACCCAACCTCGCAGAGGTTCAATGGGTAGAAACAAACTGAATGAGTGATTAATTGTGAGGAGCACTGAATTCATTTGCTCCCATCCCTAGGGTGATCAGTGCTCATAAAAAGCAAGTGAAAGGTTGAGTCTAACTCTTAATGAATCCAAGACCCATGAGGCAGGATGCTTACTTGCTCGCATCCTTATTAGGATTCACCTATATGTGTGTAGTTGTGAGGCCGCGACTATGGGATCAGGGCTGCTCCCTAGTAACACACATGAAAGATACCTGCGCAAGGCCGATAATAGCGCAACCCGTTTAGAATTCTTCAAAACTGTACTATGTGTGCTTTCTGTAGAAATCCGATAAATGAGACTGGTTCAAGGCGAAGTCCACCAAGCTCTCACGGATCTATACAACTGTCACTAAGTGAAGGTTCAAACCGAAAGGTACCTCCACCTATTACATAGTATAAGGGAACCAGCAATCTTATTTATTTTTAAGTTTTTATTTTATTCTTATTTCTGAGCTATTTCAAGTTTTAAGTTATGTGGGGGATTGTTGGAGTTGTAACTTAAAACTTGGGTTTGTAGAGGAAAAGAGGAAAAGTTTAGTCCCACATAGGAAATGGAATAGGAAGAAAGAGTCTTTATAAGCCTTCCCTTTCTCTCCTATGCCTAGAAGAAAACAAAGGTTATGCTCCACACCACACACGCACGCGCCGGCCGGGCCGGGCTCGGGCTCGGGTTCGGGTGGGGTCGGGTGGCGCGCGCACACGACCTGCGGACACGAATGCCGCTCCGGATTAATGGGCCTTTAATCTGATACATTTTTATTTTTGAATAATTAAAATGTAATATTTATTAATAATTAAAATGTAATATTTATTTTTGAACAATTAACATGTGATAAACGTTTTGTAACGGTTAAGAGAATTAAATTTTGAAACGGTAATATTCATGAGATTTAAATCAGAATCAAAACGAAAAAAGAATTTTTATGAGAATTAAATCGGTAATTAAAATGAAAACGGATTTTTATTAAATCGGTAATTAAAACCGAATCGAGTTTTTATGAGAATTAAATCCGCGGGATTTGTAACGGTTGTTTTTTTCCCCTATAAAAACCAACACCTGCCGAAGGCTAAAGACACAGATTTACAAACGAATTTCTCTTCTCTTCTTCTCTTTCAAAATATTTGCTATTATATTCTGTTGGTTCCCTGAAAGTCTAGAAGAGTTCGCAAAGCCTTCTTGAAGCTCGTGCCGACGAGAAGGAGGTCGCCTGACCGAGGGTCGTTGTATCTCCGGGAACTTTTGCCACGTAGCCCTGTACGAGAGGGGGCAATTAGATTCTTGGGACAGTGCTTGCACGCCTCGACCATCCGGCCGTATTTCTAACTTTATTTACTTTTCATTTGATACATTTCTTATATCTGTGTTATAATAGTGATTATCTGTTAATTATTAAATTGCTTAATCTGATTTTCATTA